AAGAAAGCAGGGATCCTGGGAGGTTCCATCTGCTCTCTGACAGATGGGCTCCAGCTCCCTACCAAGGCATCTTAGGAAGACAGAGGCTCACTGGGACCGGATGGCATCACTGGGAAAGGATTCTGGGGGAACCAAGCTTTGGGGACTATAGGGTGGGGGTACCTTGAAGGCAGATTTCAGCCTCTGGGACTTGGCCTTCATGATAGGCACTTGAGTCCTGAGACCTGATGAGCCAGAGGAAACACCATTTGTCTCTCTTTAACTATCCCTTTCAGTCCAAAGGCAGGTCCAGAGACTGAGAAGAAGCCAGAGCACCTTCCAAAGAGCCACGGGGATGTTGGGTTCCAGAAAGAGCCTGTGGTCCCAGGCATTGTGGATTTTGAGGTGATCCAAGAGGAGCTGAAGACCTATAAGCCCCAAGCACCAAGTGCCTATCGCTTTGGACGCCTCAGCCACCATTCCTTCTTCTCCAGGCACCACCCCCAACCACATCGTACGACACACATCCAAGGTATGGCCAAGTGGGCAGGATCTGGCTATAGGGCCATGCAGAAGTGGGTATCACTAATTGGACATGAGATCTGGTATAAAGGCATGTATTCATACCCATTTCCAGGCAGAGCCTAGAGAGCATGGGGCCTGACCGGAGTCCCGAGGCTGCCCAGTGACCAAGTCAGAACTGCCTTGGGGGATGGGGGGGGGAAAGTGAAGGCTGCAAGGGCATATTGGAGGTCCCCTACAGAATTTCCCTCCCCCGAGTCAGAGAAAGGGATGTCCCACCCCAGAACTATGCTCTGACTTTGGACTCATGCTGCTTCATCCTTTTGGCCATCCTTCTATCCACTCATCCATCCACCCATTCATCTGCAGTATTTACGGAGTGTGAACTACAGATGACACTTGTCTGGACTCCAAGGACATGACAATAGGCAGAACAGACTATTGTCACTGCTGTCCTGGAGCTGACATCCAGCTGGGAAGGATGAGACATAGACTAGATGTCACTGTCAGGTTCCAGAGGGGTGATGGCCACTCTCAAAAGGTTGTCACAAGAGACCTAGTCAATGACATGATATTGAGGAAGGCTAAAGGAATTAAGGGTGGGAGCATGAATCAATCAAGCACTAGAATGTGCAGAGGGACACAATGGTCCTGGCTCTGTTGGAGGTACAGCAGGAGAGCCCCTTGGGTGTCTGAAGCAGAGTCAGAAGGGGAAGGGAATAGACAGTTTCAGAGAGGCATTGGAGCGAGATCAGGCAGGTGGACCCTGCAGCCCATCGGCGCTGTCTTAAGCCACCCCAGCTTGACATGGTATGTACTCCTATAACCATGGCATTTGAAATGCAGAGGCAGAAGGATCACTACAAGTTTAAGGCCACCTACATAAGTGGTCCTGCCTAGCCTGAGCCACCTAGTGACAGTCTGTCTAAAATTCATAACAATCACTTCACTGAATCAAGTGGGGCCATTGGGAGGGTGACAGTACAGAACAAGGTCGCGCTGGCCTTGATGGAAGCTGAACCATCAAGCCATGGAAGATTCCACAGCTCTAGTCTAGAGGTACAGAAGGGAAAGCCCCCAGGATTTGACCAATGACTGAAGGTGACGTATAGGGCCGAGAGGCATCACCGTCATTCCTTAATGGTCACCCTGAGAAACTAGAGAACCAGAGTACACAAATACCAGATGCCATCAAGGGTCAGTGGAGGAGGGGATAGAAGTGGGGAGGAGCCATGGATGGAGGAACCGGCCAGAAACAGCAGGCTAGGGAGATACAACTGTGAGAGCCATTTGTGAAGAAACAATGCATTGTGAAGACACAAGACAGCAGAGCTTTGGATTAAGAGATTGAGATAAGGAGACATGAGAGATGACAAGGAGAAGCCAAAGAGCCTGGAGAAGCCAGCAGATCCTGGAACCAAAGCAGCCAAGGCCTAGCCAAGCATGACGGCCTAAGCTTGCAATCCGAGAGCTGGGGAGGTGGAAACAGGAGGATCCCTAGTGCTCATGGCGCCAGCCATCCCAGCTAAATGGGTGAGCTGCTGGCCAATGAGAGAGACTATTTCAAATAAAAGAAGGTAGATGGTGCCTGTGGAACAACACCCAAGGCTGTTGTCTGGCCTTCATCTTCACACACATGAACATGCATGGGTATGTTTGTGTACACACACACACACACACACACACACACACACACACACA